ATGCCCCCACATGCCCAGGACACCTAAAAGCTGTCTTATGTATATCCTCCGGGGCCATCTTTATCTGATTATACCTGGCATTTCCATCCATAAAAGATAAGACTTTGTGTTTTGCTACTGCATCTATGGATAGATCTGCCATGGGCATGGAATACTCATCTTTAGGTGTAGCACCATTAATATTCCTGTAGTCAACACAACATCGAACCGCTTTTGTTACGACTTTTAAAACGGGTACAATGTTGGCTAACCACTCCACATATTTGGCTGGCTTGATAAATCCGGCTTTTACGAGTCTCTCAATCTCTTCTTTGACCTTCTCTTTTATCTCATTCGACATCCTTCGTGGTGCTTGCTTAACCCGCTTATATCCTTCCTTGATGGGCAGTCTGTGTTCCACCAAGGTTGCATCTAAACCCGACATCTCAGTGTCATGCCAAGCAAAACAATCTCTGAATTCTTGCAAGAGACAGATAATTTGTGCCCGATCCTCACTCTCCAATAAACCACTGATTTGTATTGGTCTTGGGTCCTCCTTTGTTCCTAGCTCAATAACTTCCAAAGGATCTTGGACCTCCGGTGGTGGCTTATCAGGTTCTGCACACAAAAATTTGACTAGCTCCAGGCTCTCGGGCAAGTCATCTGGCTCATCTAGGTCATATATACACTCGGCCATTTGAATGGCTCTTTCCAATTCTTCTTGACAAGATTCCTCGTTGCTTTCATCCTGGCTGGTTGAAGCTCCTACCTGCCATTCCTGCTCTTCTCTGTCTAAGAGCTCATTTTCTTGTCTTCTTTCTTTCCCATACACCAACAGTCGTTTAATCAGGGATCTGACTACCATTACCTGATCCTTCATTTTTTTTTTCTATCATTGATGGTGTAGGGGTGTTGGGATGATACAAGGTCTGTCCCACTCCTTTCTAGTAAGGAGCATCCCTTGTTCTATGAGCTTTTGGGCCGTCACCTTGGTAGGGCGGTCGTTCTCATCTGCTCCTAAACACTTCAAGATTCCTATGTTGGGATTGTAGAAACTTGCTTCCGCTATATTGGTTGTGGGAAGAAATTGCCGTGATTCGGCCTCTACCATCTCCCAAAAGCCTGGCCCTTCCGTGCTTGCCTCATGATACACATCCACTTGTTGATGTAGGGTGGAGGGTACAGCAAGACTTTAGTGGATCCAATCTCTTCCAAATAAGGCTCCATAGGTGGAGGTGCAGTCCACCACAAAGAACGTCAGCATGATATGTTTAGACCCCAGATCTACTTCCAAAGGCAATATCCCAAGAGTCTTGGTGATAGTGCCCGAGAAACTAGAAACTGTGAGGTCTGTAGGAATAAGATCCTCTGTGCCTCTCCCCAACTTTTTCATCTGCTTGGCTGGTAATACATTAACAGCTGCCCATCCATCAATCAAAATCCTTCTAAAGGGCATTCCCTCCAAATGAGCTGTTACATATATGGGTTTTAGATGATTGGCAAGTGAAATGTTCGGGCGATTGAACACCATTTTGTCTGTGTAGATCCTTAAAGGACCCTCTTTGGATGCTTCAGATGATGCAGCTTTTCCCGACTCTCATTCTTCTGCTATTTCCATATTAACATGAGCCATCATTGGCTCAGTTGTTACATAATCTCCTTCCATGGCGGCGGGCTGATTAGGTTGAGCAACAAACATAGCAGATAACACATACACCATGTTTATATGAAAGTTCTTAGGCTCTGGCAGTTCCTCTTTTTTGCTCCCAATCTGGTTCATGAACTCATCCAACCACGTCATAGCATCTGGTGGAAGCAATGGTTCTGGTGCCTCATCTAGCTGATTCACACCTGAACATGGTGTTTGTTTTGGAACTTCCCAAAGGGATCTTCTAATGATAGAGAAGGTTGTTTTTTCTCAGGGGATACAGTTCCAAAGCAAATAGGCTGCTCTGCTTTCCATCCGGGAGTCAGCACCATAACCATATCTTCTTGAGCTCTCCTCAAGATTCTATATTTCCCAGGGTGTAGGCTTTGTGGCACATGATTTCCTTCGCCTTCAATCTTACTATTAGCCTTTTCCACCTCCTTCTTACTTCTCCAGCGGAGCTGACTGCTCCCCCCAGATGGCGTTTTCTCTAACTTTTGATTTTTGGAAGCTTCCGACGTCGCTGGGGTTTTCAAGGAATTCATGTAGGCTTTGTGTTGCCTCTGAACCCTTATGACCATGGAGGCACCCATTTGCTTAACGGGCTGTCCATTCTTCCCGACCACATACCATTTTCGCCCGAGGCGGGCATGATTATCTTTTGTGACGGGGTTTTTTATCCTGTCATTCCTCGTAACCTTTCTTCCTATATGGGCGTACTGAGAGTGCCCTACACTTCTCTCTTTTGGCTTCTTGGCATCTTTATCCTCTGCCTCCTTAGAAACTTCATGGTTACGAAATATTTCTGATAAAGCCCTTCGTTGGGAATCGCCTCCTAACCGCTGAAAGACACTTCGGGAGGTATCCCTTCCTGCAGTCCGCCGAGCTTTCTCTTGTGCCTCTTTTCTCTTTTGGTCTTCATTCCTCCTGATCAGTTCATGATCTATGAGGGCTCCCACGGGCGGTATTTCGAGTTTACACTCGCATTGGCACTTACTGCACAACACCCTTCCTTTGAATATGGCGGCTTTTGGATATTCAGGCAAGTTAACCCCCCCTTTTATGGGTTTGTCAACCAATCTTCTTTCTTCTTCTCTTGTGACCTTCTCTTTTCCCTTCTCCGCCCAGGCCATACTGATCATATTTATAGGGGCCTCTGAGAAGGGATCCGTATGTTTATCTGTCACCGCAGCTTCTTCTAGTGGATTGGTTTTAAGCCCCCTCTTCTCCCTATCATCTTTCTCCCCAAGATGAGGTAAAGACATAGGGATGAGTGGTCTTAGAACCGGATCATCTTCTTTTCTAGAGCCTGCAAAAATGTTCTCGAGTCTTTGTAGCATGTGCAACAAAGCAGTTTGGAAATCTTCTGATCCTTTTGACATATATTGCTTTGATCAAAGAATCCCACCGGGCGTGCCAAAACTATGTTCGTGGCGGGAATTTCCGTGGGGAATGCTTCCTGGTAGACGAGCACACAGCTCCCCAAGAAGTTGGCACCGGTTGATGCTTTCTGTCGAGCTTCTGCTTTACTGGCGGGCTTGTCGGGCAAAGCCTGTCAGGCAAGGCTTGTCGGGCAAGGCTGAAAGAGAAGGACAGAGTTAACTTTGAAATGTGCCTTTGTGAGGCCTTAGGTGTAGGCCTTGAGGCTCACGATCAAGATTAACTTTGAATTGCTCAGGCATGCCACTACCATCTTCAGCATGGCAGATGTAGAACGGATGTTTGAGTTTTAATTATATATATTCGAGAGACTATGTTAGTTATTGATAGGTGCCTTTGTGGGGCCTTAGGTATAGGCCTTGAGGCTTCCCATAAATAACTAACTTAGTACTCAAACACATAAGGTTCCTTTTGTTAGTTATATAGGTCTTATAACCATCATACTTCTGATTACCTGAGCTCAAAGAGCAGAATGAATCCAAATAGGTGCCTTTGTGGGGCCTTGAATAGGCCTTGAGGCTTCCCATCAGAACCCCTTCTGTACTTAATGTTCTTGCCCGAGAAATAGGATGAATCCAAATAGGTGCCTTTGTGGGGCCTTGAATAGGCCTTGAGGCTTCCCATCAGAATTTATCCCGTACTCGAACGTTTTTGCCCAAGAAATAGGATGAATCCAAATAGGTGCCTTTGTGGGGCCTTGAATAGGCCTTGAGGCTTCCCATCAGAATTCATCCCGTACTCAAATGTTATATGGTCATCATAATATAATAGAAATAAAACTAAGTGGTAGGTCGATTACTTGCGCCCCAAGTAACTTCGGACTTCTTGTTTATCAAAGCTTGTCGTGGATGGGTTAAGTCCACATCAGGTTCTTTTTTATCCCTTGAGGCCAAGGACTTTTTAGGGTGATCAAATCTTATATGCCCGAGGGCTTAGAGCTTAGATCTGGTTTGAACTGTGAAGACATATTCAAATCGGATTCAAGCGCTGAGAGAGTCTTTTAATAGCTATATTACTAGAAATAATTTGGATACAACTTGAAGTATACAACATATTGCTAGGCTAATGAATGAAAAGACAAAAACAAAGAAGGTCGGGCAAGGCTGATCGTCTTGCAACTTCCTATCTTTGTGGGTTAACAGAAGGTTTGAAAGCTTAGAAAAGGGGTTGGGATGTGAGTTTGCAGAAAGAAAATCGATAGTACAGCAGGCGTTGAGCAGGGTAGCATAGCTATTACAAAGGGTTTGTCCCGAAAGGGATGAAGGCTTGGGCTTACTACAGCTTCGTTTTGAAGGCAAATCTGGCTTTGAGCAGAGTTTATGCTTTTGTTTGTTTGTTTTGAGTGTCCTTGATTCTGACTTCTCTTTCTCCTCTTATAGCCACATTGGCTTGGCCTCCTGTAGCAATAATCTTGCCCGAATGTAGTTTGAAGGATAGTGACTCATCAGCTATTTACTTGTACTGCCATCATAAAGTACTTTTGGGCTGATTAGCTGGCTAGTCTATACCACTTGGCCCTTGGGTAGGTGAGCAAGTGGTGCAAATATGCTGCACCTAGTCGGGAAAGGCCATTTCTGCTTTCTAGGTCTGGGCTGAGCTTCGGGTTTTTCCTTCTCTTTTTGGGCCAACTCCCTTCTAAGCCCAAAGTTTAAGTTTTAACCCAAACAATAAGAGCAAGAAGATCATTTTCCTGTAGCAAAGAGAGACAAAAGTACGGGCAATGAAGAAATTAGAGGGCAGCTGGGGAGTTCACTGTTGGTGAACAGTAACCCCTCTCACATGATGAACAATGAGGAACTGAACTTTAGTGTATATAGATATCTACTAGACCAAAGTATTTTTCCGTTTCGAACATTAAATTTACAATTTTACCCCTGCTCTCCCCGTGTTGGTTATCGTGTAAAAGGACGGGATGGATCGCACTCTTCTTTCTGCTTTTCTGGAGTATTTTATAGGTAAAGGTGCTGAAGACACTGTTTAAGATTGTTTTATTGGAGGAAAGTAACAACCAGTGGAATTTTAGCAGACCAATTCTGAGCTTGATACTTATTTATGAGCAGGACACAAGTTTCGGGAAAGAAGCAGAAAAGCAGGAGGAAAAGGAGCAGAAAAAGGAGCAGAAAAGCAGGAAAGGTGCCAGCCCATCATGAGAAGCCGAAGGAAAAAGCAAAAAAAAAAAAAAAAAAAAAAAGAGAAAGAAAGGAGAGACATACGAAGGAGAGAGAGGGAGCCCAAAAAGATAGCAGAAAAGGAGAGAGAGCCGTGTGTGGTGAAAAGAGAGTGAGGACGAAGGAGAGAGAGGAGGGGCGAAAGAGGGCGGCGAGACAGACGGAAGAAAGCACAGCAAAGGAGTCTGAGGGTTTTTTAAACTTAATTTTAATGTTTCTTATTATGAATTCAGTGACAATTTCATCTTTGTTTCGGAAAATTTGCGTATGAATTTCGTTTATGTAATTTTGGGTGTTCTGTTTATATCGTTAGATTCGTCGTCCGAGTGTATGATTTGCTTCTGTTTTTTTTGTTTCAGGAGACGTTGCTCTACGTTTCTTTGGGCTTTTGTGTGCAGTTTTCGAAGCCCTTTGTGCTAAAGGTAAACAATTTTAGTTTTTTCCTTTGAGGCTTGCTTACTAGGACAAACAAAAAACGTTTTCATAAATGGATGCAGATGGTATTGAGAGTTTTGGCTATTCCCTCAGTACGTGTAGGTATTTATTCACGACGGGTTAAGTAGTTTTGGAATTCTCTTTTGCTTCATATAGAAACCTTCTTTTGGGTGAGTTTTGCATGTTTCTGACGGCGAGGGTTTTGATTTTGCATATTTTTGTGTGGATATCTGATATGTTTTGGTTTTGGATTTGAATGGGATTTGCCCAGCTGCTATTTCAAAGCTGGAGGAGCCATTGTTCTCCTTTCGTAAAAGTTTACATGCACACTTTCACTGGAAAACCTCAAGTATGTATTATGTAGTTATACTATTCTCTCCAACTCTGCTTTTCGTTGTCCGTATGTTCGAATATGACAGAACAGAAATGAATGTCCAAGCTAAAGGGGGGTCAGGCACACGGAACTGACCCAAATATTCTGCAATATTTAGGAAGTGGAAGAAATAAATATTTGAGGTCTGAGATATACTTGTATGAAAAAAGTTGATTTTTTAAAATTCTTCGTTTTTGGTTTTTTAATTTTTTAACTTTTTATGCAGGAAGAGGAAGAACCCAGAAAATATATGTTCACCGGGTTTGAGGGAATTGTGAAGAAAAATCATTATCCTCTTTCCTTTTTGAATTAAAATAAATAAATTAGGCTTTAATTTTTGAGCAAGTGCGTTGGACATAATCATTACTTTCTATTACAATTATTAAAATTAATTCAATTAACTAAAGTTGATTTGAATGTAATGATGATGGAGATATTTGCATAGGCGATGGAATCTCGCTGACAACTTCCGATAGAATCTCTGCCTTTGAAAAAGCCACAAAATATGGGCTAGACATCATGATATGCCTCAATTTTCCTTTTTCTCCTGCTTTACTGACGTGGAAGAAAATTCAGAAGAGGGAAAAAAATCATCACCGATTGTTACAAAGATAGATTATCTTGCTTACAACAACAACAAAATTTTTTCCCACTAAGTGAAGTCGGCTATATGAATCCTAGAACGTCATTGCGTTCGGTTTTGATAGATCATCTTGCTTAAAAAAAAAAAAAAAAAAAAAAAAAAAACTAATGAAAAAGATTTTAAAACTTTATATTTTAATGATAAAGATAAAATAATGATAAGACAAATAGTATCATGATTGATTTTTTAGTGTAAAAATATGATTTTTTGTTAAAGTGAACAGTATCTGAAGTTTTTTGTTAAAATTTCCTTAAAAAATACTAGGTAAATATCATCCATCTTTATTTTTTCTTTCGGTGTAATTTATTCAAAAATAAATTTGCCACATTAATCTAAATGTTTAGTTTTCATTTTCCTTTGCCTAGATTGCTTTCCTAGTGGTGAAAATTACTTGACCAAAACTTCAGTTGTTCCAGCCATCAAATTTACAGTCCTTTGTCAATATATGTATCAAACAATCTTTCTAACATTTTTGGCCATGTAAATAACTCTTTCTAATCTATGTAAATAATTCTGTCTAACCTAAGGAGCATAATATTTTTTGCATGTAAATAGTCCAGCACTTTACAATCTTTAGTATCTAAGTGCTTTGGTGCACAATGGATGACTAATAGTTTTTGTATGTAGATTACCAAACATTCTGCAATTTTTTACCTTATAGATTGCATAAACTAAACATTTTTTGTATTAAAATTTTCAATCCTTTTGATTGTCAATAATTTTAATGATGTTACACTGTTTTTACATGTTTCGAGCCCAGCGTTTGGTTCAATTGTTAATTCCGTAGCAACATGTGGACATGTTTTCTAGTTAAGACATAAAAGTTCTTCTTTGCTTTTTTGTAATGTAACAAAGATCTTAATGACTCAAGACATGCAAACTATTTAGGTATAGAACAGAAGGAACCATGTTTCTTTTCTTTTGGTAAATAAGGACCCATCTTCTAGTGAAATTTTGAACATACTAAGGCGCTCTTTTATTGGGAGAGTACATCCTCTCATAATCATTTGTTAGGTTATCAGAGAAAGTTTTGAATTCAAATCTCATGAATGATAATAACTGTTTTTTAGATTGAATATATCTAGTTGTACGTCGATCATGTACTGGTAACGCCATCAAATTCATGATCATGTGTGAAAAATTATTAAACTCAAGTTTCTTGGGTCCTAGTTTATATGTAAAATCCCATATATCCTGTTATGCTGGAATTTATAAGCCTAATGTTAAGGTAAACATTTCAGATCCGGAAAAATTACCGAAGAGAAGAAGACTCTGATGAAAATTTCAAGAAGAACAAGGCATTCATCGTATAGAAATAGATCACAAATGTCTTTCAAGATTTTCACGTTATTAACCACAAATTGAACAAATCGAAAGGCAGAATATGAATGGACAGATCAATTGCACAAAAATTGAAAGAATGAAACATAACCTCAATTCGAGAGGCTAACGCCAAATGCATGCAAATCTAGCTAGCTAGAGTTTACGTGCAAGTCTCAAGTTTGAGATATATTCCTTTACATTCTCTCAAACTACGTATACACAAGCGCATGATATTTGTTCTTGAACCAACGTACCCCATTCTTTAAAGCAGTCTTGAATTTGGTTTCAACGACGTAGGACTTGTACTTGGCCACCCGACGTTTTCTCTTGAGCTCTACTTGGCTAGAGTTGTAGATCGAAGATGCTTTACGTGAATACCCTTGATTTTCCCAAGGATAACCTTCGTGGTCACGGTCACCATAAGGCATATACGTTGATTGATAAGTTGATTGCATCTTGTCCATCTCTCTCATCTTTCTTGCTTGCCAATCAAGGTTGACGAGCAATGAGAGAGAGAGGTGGACGACAAAAACTTGGTTTTGATGGGAGAGCATGGAATTCTTATAGGGGGACTTGCGTTGCTGTCATATGTCTCTCAGATGATGTTGATTAAATAAGAAGGGTTGGGAAACCATTGTCTTAATTTGTGAGGATGTGACGAGTATACAACAACAACAAAAAGAAAGAACGAGAGGGTCTGTGAAACCGCTCAAACTTAAAGAGGATTTCTTTGCCAAATTAATGAGCATCCAGAAATCTACTCCAAGAAAAAAAAAATGAGCATCTAGAAATAGATATTGGTGAGCACCCGAAAAAATAATTCCCTTTCTCTTTCACATTTCTTTCAAACTTCTTTCTCCCATATATTTTCCAAAAAAATAAAAAACTGCTTCAGACACAATGTGTGGGCTTAGGCAAGTTTTAATTTGTTCACTAACTTGGAACCTTCCATAGATACTCTTGTAGATTTATGTACTTTGTGACTCAGTCTAAAACAGAACTCTCATTATTTACATTTGCTATAAATATTTGGGGCTCCAGAAAAATGCGAAATTTTATGGATGCGTTAAAACTGTACAAACGAAAGGCAGAATTTGACCAAGAGAAAGAGAAAAGCAAAAAACAACTGGAAAAAAAATGGGAGTAAATTGTTGAGTGTTATTTTAGGAGTATGGTTTTTTCCCCTCAAACGTCTCTCCCTTTCGGTCCCTTTCTATTTGAACGGTCATGATTAAGTCACGTCAAATGTAGATTTATTTATAGAGAGGGAGAGACAAAGAGGAAGTGAAAGAGAAGAAAAAGGGAAGAGAATGAGGTTTGGAGAGGAGAGAATCATACTCTATGCACGTTACCTTCCAATTTGTTAGGGGAGACTTGGTATTATAAGAGAAACATTTCATTGTGACCAGAACATTGGTAATACATTATATGTTTTTATATAAGTGGTGGGAAATTTTATTTTTTAAGTTATTATCTTTTTAACAACATATTTCACAATTTGTATAGTGATATATGGTGTATCATCCTGTGTTCCGATCACATTGAAAATCTCTCTTATTAGAGGAACACCGTTGACTTATCCAAGCACTGTGGTATGTAAATGGAAGAGCTAGCTTTTTCTTGAGCTATTAAATCAATCATATATGAGTTTTGCATGCCCAGGTAATTAAAAACATGTTTAATATATGTGTAATTATTTGGATAAAAAATAATTCCTTTTCTGGGCGATGTGTGCGTTTCAGTAAAACCCTAATACTAAAAGCAAACTAAAAAACAAGATTTCTAAAGGATTGAAAGAATATATACAGGTTCCTGGACAAGCAAGGAGAAGAATGGCTCCTACATGCAACACCACCTAATCACACAAGGAACAACGTCATCCTTTCCTTCACCAGTTGACACGCATGGTAGCCCGTCCCCAGAGAAACTAACACTAACGAAAGAGGAGACACGAATGCGAACTTATACAGTGTGTGTGTGCGCAGATGCACATCCTTTACTAGCTGAGGTTGCAGCAGGCTGTTAGCATAGTCTGGTCGGTTTGCTGACCTTGAAAGAAGTAGGACCCCCGTTAGTAACTTCGAATGGATAGAGGACAGACACATAAATCGGCGTTGAATGTCCCTTATATTATATAAATTTCCACTTCTCCTCAAGGAGCTTTAGAGATTATCATAACATGTTACCACAATTTGAAACCCCACCCCGCCCGCCCCCCCCCCCCCCCAAAACAAAAAAAAACAATATTGGGTTATTAACGAATTATAAACAATGAGACTGACGTTGGGAAATCTCATTTTTGCTAATTTGTCTTCGGCTATTTTAGTCTCATTTAGATCGTTGATTATTTAGACTCTAGCATAACCATTTAGAGTTTAAATTCTAGGTTTTATACTCTCAAAAATAGACTTTAACTTTTAAGTCTCTGATTTTGAATGATCAAACTATAAATGGAATGATTAACTCTATTAACAAGATGAAAGCTAAAGAAAATTCATGCATCTATATAACTTTACATGGCTATGAACTAACTCTCAGTCTAATAGTATCTTTTCTTACTATTGAAAAATGTCCCGAATTAGAATTCCCTCTTTCCCATTGATTAGGAAAATAAAACTTCACATGGCTAGCTAGACTTTATGATTTCTAAAGTAAGGTACTCAATATTAAGATTCTAATAATGAAGACATAAACATCTATTTCATAGCTTATGCATCGTTTAATGCATTGTAAAACAATGCTTGCCCATGTATGAGCTTGAACATGCAACTTTTTAGGGTTTTTCAGATGGCATCGGAACCATATAATTGAACATGCACGCAAGTTTTCAACCATACAAGAAATGACAGAAAAAGCTTTCTAATTAACCAGTTTAGTGAATTTTAAGACTCAAAGTCTCAAACGCAGATCAACATAATTTCCTTCATCTGTGTTGGGAACAACCTGTTCGATCTGTTTAAAGTACGGGCCGTGAGGGTTTCTGGGAGCTACAACAGACGGGACCCGAGCAGCACCAGCATGATCACCATTGATATTGCTTGTGGACCCACTAGAACAAACGAATATGGGTACACTTGCTGCTACCAGTTGATTTTGATCACGATGATCATGATTAGGAGGAGGATGACGAAGATGTTGAACATGTTCTAACATGGCCATCCTTTCAAGCTGTCTTTCTCTTTTGTGTGCGTTTTGATGACCTCCCCATGCTTGAGAGCTTTTAAACTTCCGGTCACAGTAGTGACACTCAAACTTCTTGCTCTCGATGATCATGGCGACTTGGTCACTGTCCTCTGTCACCGAAAACCCGAATAGCTTCATTTTCTGATGAAAGAATATGGTTCATGGAAATTGAAAACTAATGAAACTTATATATATTACCTGCGCCCTTAGAAACACCCAACCCATACGCAGAGCTACTAAAGCACTATTGCATGGGCCTCCCCTATTATTGCTTTTACTATTATTTGTCAGATATATACGATTCCTTTGGATAATGATTTAAATAACTGAAAGGCGAATTTGAGAGGTCTTAGTCAAAGAGGATTTGAATCACATTATTGTTAGTCCATTGTAAAGTTTAGCCTTCTTCTATTCCTCTTAGACCAACTCCAACCCTTGAAGTAAGTCATAAAATTTACCATCTATTCCCCTCCCATTTCCTTCCAACCCTTGGGCCAATTTGGGATTTTGGGTTAGAAGCTAAAATTGGGCCAAATACCGGCCAGAAAATAGGATTGGGTTAGTTAAGGAGCCCACTTGTGCAAGTGGAAGAGAGGGAGTTGGATGACAAGCGCCCAAAACCACTCGCGCCACATGAAGGACGCGTTCTAGCATTGCTCCAACATTTATCATTGCTGTTGTTTGGGTTAATATTTGAACTTTGGGCTGAAGGAAGAGAAGCTCGAAAAAGAAGCCCATAAGGCATGACTCTGCCTAAAGGCCCAGCATCAAACCTATTCGCCCAACCCAAGGCAAAATGATGATTCCACATTAAATGCAAAGGCTAGTAGCTTGAAAGAAGTAACACTTGATGGAAATCAGCATACTCTCAGCCCAAAAGCACTTTCTGGATGGCAGAGTACGTAAATTACTGATGAGCCACTACCTCTCAGTTGCTTTCGGGCAGGAACCAAGCTACAAGCAGTCAGACTAATTCGCTTATAAAAGGAGGAAGAGGGCCCAAAGATAAGGACACTCAACCAATCAAACAAACAAATACATAAACTCTGCTCAAGCCAGATTTGCATACAAAGCTGTAGTCAGCCCCCAACCTCAATCCTTTTTTAGGATCAGCCCTAACATAAGCTATCTTTTGTTTAGTGTAATAGCTCTGCTGCTCACCAGTATTATCGATTCTCTTGTGTAACTTTATTTGTCATCTATTCTCCCTTGAAACCCTCATATCCTTGTAGTGGCAAAGAAAAGAAACGACGAAAGGTCCAGCCTTGCCCAACAAGGTTCAATCTTGCCCGATTCCCTTTGTTTTGTCTTTTAGTTAATAGATCTGGTGTTGTAATGAATTCGCTAGTATGTATTCAAATCATTTTAGGTCTTTTAATGATCCAAAGTTCAGCTTACTCTTAGATCTGGTTTTAATTAAATGGTTTTACTATCTTAAGAGTGAATCCACTTAATGCCTTGATTAGACCCGAACCTCTGCCCTTTTACCTACAAGATACACAAAAGTCCTTGATCTCAAGGCATTGAAAAGAATATAATGTGGACTTAACTCATCCATGACAATCCTTTGATAATGAGAAGTTAGAGTAACTTGGGGCGCAAGTAATCGGCTTAAATCTACTCATTTTACATCTGCCATACTGAGATGGCAGTGGCACGCCTCAACACTTAAGTTAGTTTTAACTGCGAGCCTCACGGCCTATACTTAAGGCCCGACAAAGGCACCTTTCAGAATTAACTCTGTACTCTTTTTGTAGCCCGACGAACAAAGCGAGAACTCGATAGTCAACCAAAGTGCCAACTCCGTAGGGAGCTGTGTGCTCCAGCCAGGAACGTCCAAAGGCGACATTCTTGCCCGAACAGCTGTAAAGGGCAGTTTCACCCACGTAGGTGTGTCCAGCAATTGTCGGCCAAGAAAAGTGAGTCAACGTCATTTTTGGATAATCAACAGTTGAAATTCAAACGGGTCGTAGGTTATCCAACGGTCCACATTTAATTTAGTTAATGTTTTTGTTTTATATTTATAATTTCATTGAATCCAACGGTTGATATCTAATATGATCAAATTCAACGGTATAAAAAAGATCTAGCAGCCCAAATTTAAATCCAACGGCTAAAATAATTTAAAAAATATATATTTAACTCAAAATTCACCCAAATTTAATGAATTTTCAATATTTATCGGAATCTAAATATTTTTAGGTTAAAATGTTCATAAAATTAAATTAGGATAGTTTACATAATTTAAAAAAAAATTAGCTAAAATTATTCTTTAATAACCTCAGGCTAAAAAATTTATGCCATAAGGGTTAGAGTAGAAAAGCTATTTCTGGATTAAAACCTAAAATTTATGGACTAACAATTTTAGGTTTTACTCCAAGGGTTGGATATAATCTTAGTGTAGATAATTTTGTTTGTTTAAAAAAAAAATGATGAAAGCGTGTAAGATCCCACATCACCCAGGGGAGTGATCCTTATATGTATATTCTCATCCTACCTAGCACGAGGCTTTTTGGGAGCTCACTGGCTTTGGAGTTCATCGGAATTCCAAAGTTAAGCGAGTAGCACACGAAAGCAATCTCATGATGGGTGACCCACTGGGAAGTTCTCATGTGAGTTCCAAGAAACAAAACCGTGAAGGCGTAGTCGGGGCCCAAAGTGGACAATATCGTGCTATGGTGGTGGAGCGGGCCCGGGACAATATCGTGCTAGTGGGTCACCTATTATGGGATTGCTCTCGCGCACTACTCGTTTAACTTTGGAGTTTCGATGAACTCCAAAGCCAGGTCACATCTCGGGCCCGTTCCACCACCGTAGCACGATATTGTCTGCTTTGGGCCCCAACTACGCCCTCACGGTTTTGTTTCTGAGAACTCAGACAAGAACTTCCCAGTGGGTCACCCATCATGGGATTGCTCTCGCGCGCTACTCGCTTAACTTTGGAGTTCCGATGAACTCCAAAGCCAGTGAGCTCCCAAAAGGCCTCGTGCTAGGTAGAGATGAGAATATACATATAAGGATCACTCTCCTGGGTGATGTGGGATCTTACAATCCACCCCCTTAAGGGGCCCGACGTCCTCGTCGGCACACTTCCAGCCAGGGATACCACTACCATAAACCTTATGTTGTTATATATACATTTTCGACGGGACGTTAGTACATATAAATATTTTTGACATTTTGTTTTGTGAAAACCATTATATTATAGTATTGTACTGAAAAAGAAGGAAAGTATGAGTTGGAGGCATGAGAGAGGAATCATTGCACTCCGATCGCGACGGAATGACATTTTTCCTTTTGTGCAATCGCTCTGACTTGATTTCTTCGTTACCTACACATATTTTATTCTTCTCTATCTTTGAGTTTTGTATAACAAATGATTTTAAATTTCGGGGACAAAATTTTCTTAAAGGGGTGGATTGTAAGATCCTACATCGCGCATGAGAGTGATCCTTATATGTATATTCTCATCCCTACCTAGCACGAGGCCTTTTGGGAGCTCATTGGCTTCGAGTTCCATGGGAACTCCGAAGTTAAGCGAGTAGCGCGCGAGAGCACTCCCAGGATAGGTGACTCATTGGGAAGTTCTCGTGTGAGTTCCTATAAATAAAACCGTAAGGGGGTAGTCGGGGCCCAAAGCGGACAATATCGTGCTATAGTGGTGGAGCGGGCCCGGAATGTGGTGGACCCCGGGCCGGGATGTGACAATTTGGTATCAGAGCCCAACCTTGGCTGTGGTGTGCCGACGAGGACATCGGGCCCCTAAGGGGGATGGATTGTAAGATCCCACATCGCCTAGGGGAGTGATCCTTATATTTATATTCTCATCCTTACCTATCACGAGGCCTTTGGGGAGTTCACTAGCTTCGGGTTCTATGGGAACTCCGAAGTTAAGTGAGTAGCGCATGAGAGCACTCCCAGGATAGCTGACCCACTGGGAAGTTCTCGTGTGAGTTCCCAGAAACAAAACCGTGAGGGCGTAGTCGGGGCCTAAAGCGAACAATATCATGCTACGGTGGTGGAGCGGGCCCGAGATGTGGTGGACCCCAGACCGGGATATGACAAAGCGTTTATAGAAAAATATTTTTGAATTCTAAAAACACTTAAATCAGTGCTTTTCAAGATTAACTTAAATTTTTACTCTATAACTAATATTAGCTTTCATCCTCTTGAAAATAAGATGTCTTTAAGCGAGAAAGTCCAAAGACATTCTTGACCTAAACGAATATAATTTTAATTAGACTTAGTTCTTGAAGGGGTGATTAATGAGACCTAAACACACTATTACGATATTAGCTTTAGATGTCGGATGATGGTGACGGTTTAATAAGCCATTATGTCGGATAAAAGATATTCGACACATCATTCAGTTAGTGTCGGATAATAATGAAATCCTGTCAGTTATATCCAACATAAATTCATGGCGGATATTTAGTGTCGGATTCAACCACCATAAAATTATTATAACCGCCAGTATTTTTGAATTCTTTTTTTTTATATATATATAAATATTTTTAACAGATTTTGACGGTTTTTAAGTTAATGCTGGCGATTATAACCGACAGAAATTGACTATTTTCTTATTTTAGTTTCTGATGGTTCTTATTTTAGTATTCTGGCTGTTATAACCGACATAAATTGGCTATTTTATTATTTTTACGCCAAAAGTTTTTCAATTTGTTGTTCATTCAGATTTCTTCTTCTTGCTCATCTTCATTTTACTTATTTCTTTCTTTTCATCTTCAATCTTTTTCTTCTCTTAAGCAATTTTTTTTTAAAGAAACACAACAATCCCAACTAGCCATAAACTAGACCTTTGGTTCGGTTTGGTCTAATAATTTTCTTTCAAGCTTTGAATTTCACTAGCAAAGTCAAATTGAGCAAGCAAAACAAGTCTAAGATTTAGTTCATAACTTCTAATTCATGGTTTTGTTCAACCAAACCGATCAAACTTTTACTACAAAACATACTTGTCCGAGTAGTTATCGATATTGTCATTGATTAACAACCAGTACCAACTACCGGGTATAGAGTTCTATACTAATGGTCTTGAAGTGAAACCATTCATCATAAGATGTATTCATTTGAATTAAGTTTCTAACGTGGGACTTTACATTCTTCAACATGTCATCACTTTT